TATCTTTTTTCTGCCTCCATCAGTGTTTTGCTTACATAAAATACCGGGTATTGCACCCCTTCCTTGCAACGAATCAGAACGGCACTCGTCGCGACACCAGATACTCCAAGATATAGAAATAACTTTTCTTCCGGTTCTGGGGCTGACAGGACTGGTGGATTCTGCATATATTGCTTCAAATGAGTCAATGCCTGTCGTTGCTCATCCGCCCAGACCTGCCTTCCATGGCTCCGAATCGTGTCAAAGAATGGTTTGCAGTGGTCTGACAACTTTGAAATAAATCGACTTAATGCAGCTATTCGTCCTGTTAGGGCTTGCACCTCTCTGATCGTCTTTGGCTCGGCATTCTTAATCAAAGCCTCTGCTTGAGCGGGGCTAACTTCGATGCCCCTGCGGTTGACCACGTGTCCCAGAAACTGCCCGGAACTCACACCGAACGAGCACTTGGTCGGATTGAGCCTCATCCCATATCGCTTTAGTACATCAAATACCTCTTGCAGATGCTTCAGATGATCATCCTTTTTCCTACTCTTTACCACCATATCATCAATATAGGCTTCGACAGTCTTACCCATTTGATTCTTAAAAACTTTGCTAACAAGTCGTTGATAAGTTGCTCCCGCATTCTTTAATCCAAAAGGCATAACTTTGTAGCAGTATGTTCCTCGCTCGGTGACAAAAGAAGTTTTTTCTTCATCTGCGGGGTCCATAGGGATCTGATTATAACCTGAATATGCGTCCAGAAAGGTTAAACGCTCATACCCAGTGGTGGCATCCACCATTTGATCAATCTTAGGCAACGGGAAGCTGTCCTTCGGACAGGCTTTGTTCAAATTGGTGAAATCAATGCATACTCGCCATTTCCCATTTTTCTTCTGCACCACAACGACGTTGGACAACCACTCAGGGTAGTGCACCTCTCTGATAAATCCCGCATCAAGCAGCCTATCGACTTCTTCCGCTATGATCTGATTACGTTCTGGAGCAAATCTTCGCTGCTTCTGTTTCACTGGTTTGAAATTGGGATTGACATTCAGGGAATGACAGGATACGGAAGGACTAATTCCAGGCATGTCTAGGTGACTCCATGCAAATACGTCGACATTGTGGGACAAGAAATCCACTAGCTCTTGCTGCTCTTCTCTGGTCAGTCTTATACCTACTCTGGTAGTTCGTTCTGGCCTGGACTGATCGATCTGCACATCCAGAAGGGGCTCCTCGGTCAAGTCGGCTGACTCCTCCACCCTATTCTGCTCGAGTGGAGGTTCATGTAATTGCTATCTGGGGCTTGTCGAACGGACGGGCGCCTTTCCTTTCCCAACATGCTTTAGTGTGACGGAATAACACTCTTTGGCTGCGACTTGATCCCCCCGAATGTCTATCACTTTATCTCCATCGGGCCCGAGGCACCTCATGACCTGATGCAGAGTTGAGGGTACACCTCGGACTCTGTGAATCCATCCTCTTCCCATCAGGAGATTATACGAGGGGTGAATTTCCACAACCACAAAAGTTTCCATAAGAGCTCGTTCTGCAGCTTGAACTTCTACTTCCACCATCCCGACGGGTTCCACCCTCTTCCCATCGAACCCTAATAAGGGATTTCCGGTGGGCTTGAGCCTCTCTGGTTTAATGTCGAGCCTGTCAAATGTGTCCCTCGGCATAACATTCGCACTGCTCCCAGGATCGATCAGAACTCTGCGCACCAAGCAATCTGCCACTGTCAAACTGACTACCAACGGGTCGTCATGAGGCAGTTGAACACGCTGCAGGTCTGTCCAGTCGAACTTTATCTGCATTGACGGGCTCTGCTGGTGTAGAGTGGTCACATTGCCGACCCTTTTCTTCATCTGCGCCTGCCGCAAGCGCACCCGTAGCAGCTCATCTGACTCTTCACTAGGCTCGGGTCGACCATGGATAGCATTGATTATACGAACTGGTTGCGAATTGTGGGAGCTTTGTTTATGACTCCTTTTTATTTGTTCCACTGGTCGATTCTGCTCCATCGCCGAGCCTTGAACATAACTCGCAAACTCCCCTCTAGCTATCAACATCTCCACTTGCCTCCTCAGGTTCCTGCATTCGTTAGTCTGATGTCCGAAATCAGAATGAAAAGCACAATGTTTAGTTTGATCCCTCTGTTCGAGGGGTTGTCTAATTGGCAGTGGTGGATGAAACTTGTCCTTGTTCTCCTGATACAACCTCGCCAGAGTGACCTTCAGCGGAGTAATCAACTCTTCCTCCCTGGACCTTTTTTTGGCCTTCCAAGTGGTCTGACGTTGCGGCTGAGCCTGCTTCTGCCTGATCTTTGCCTTGGACTTTTCCTCGGTCGACACAAGCGACGTTGTCCGAGCATTAGCTGCCTCCTCTTCTTCGAGGCGCACAAAGCCATCGGCTCTCTCATTGAGTTCATCCATGGTAGCTGGCGTATTCACTACCAGACTGGTGTGAAACGGAGTTCCGCGTGTCATGGCTAACTTGAAGGCTTGAACTGCCGTAGAAGGATGACATTCGATTACCATACTCTTAGTGAGATTAAACCTGGTAAGAAAGGCCTGGAGCCGTTCATCCTTGTGTTGCCGCATCGTGAACAGGCTCGAGATGTCCTTCGGCGGGCGTTTGTTCCCATAGTACTGGCTTATGAACCGATCGCACAGGTCCCTGAAACTGCCAATGGAGCTCCTAGGCAAGTTTTTGAACCAGCTGAGCGCCGGTCCGGCCAGGCTTGTAGGGAAACATTTGCACATTAAAGAGTCGTTTTCCGTATTCAGGGCCATTTTCAACTGGATATGATACACATGATCGATCGGATCGGTTGTTCCGTCAAACAGAATAAAGACTGGCATAGCAAACTTCCTTGGATGCGGCGCATTCAAGATCTCGTCGGTGAATGGTGAATCCACCGTCCGAGCTGCGGATCGGAGAGCTTCATTCTCTCTCTGGAGTCCAGCGGTAGCTCTGTGAGTTACGGTTCTGCCCTCCGAACCGTGATGAGTGACAGTAACCATGGAGGGCCGGTAAGACGGATCGAACGACCGTTCCTCTATGAACTCTCTCTGCCAAGGCGACGCTACTCGACGGCGATCTACCTCCATCACTTCCTCTCGGTCAAACCTTTCCCGCTGCGGATCAACGTGAGTCGATCCTTCGTGATCTTCAACTCTACGAACATTTGGCGGCAAATTGTCCATCATCCTTTCATCACGGTGGTGAGCTGACTGATTGTTCTCGTCCTGATCGCCTTGATGCGCGATATTAGATGGAACACCTCCTTCTCCGACCGGAAGCGGATGCGAAACTGCAGGTATTTGCCGATGCTGCAGTCCAGCTTTCAATTCTGCATTTTCTTTTCTGAGAGCTTCAATCAAGTTCATCAACTCTTCAAGCTTTGTTTGCTGGACAGCCTCCATCGGATTGGAGCTTTCACCTATCATTATTCCCGAACGGAGTAAAGGCATTAATCTCAAGTTCGCGAGTAGATCTGAGCTTCGTGAGTAGGAATTTTTAGATCTGGCTTCTAATTCTCCGAATTATGCTCACTGTTTACAAGATCTGAATTGTCTGAACTCTAAATCCGTCAGATCCTGCCACAATCGAGCAACTCGTGGTTGCGTAGATCTGAAGTCACTCCTGCCAAAGCTTCAAGAATCGTAATTCCTCCAGAGTAGGTCACAATCGCTCAGATCTGGATTCAAATCCCCAAGATCGAGTCTCGATCAACCGAATTGGTTTGAATCCATTCGATACTCCTCATTGATCAACCAAACTTTCATGCGATTCCCACAGACGGCGCCAATTGAAGATGCAAGAAACTCCTACTATTCTTTCTCTCTCTAGAATTCTTACACCTCAACCCGAAAAAGATCCCTCTCCTCTTCATTCCAACTCCTATTTATAGATACTTACAAGATATTTACAAGATATTTACAAGATATTTACTAATTGCTGGACCTGGGCCTATTCCTCTGTAAGCCCTGGTCACCCTTGATGGGCTTACTCCCGCTCGACCCATATGGCAGTGTCTTTCTATGGGCTGACCCAGCTGTTCGGACTGAAGGTTGTGTTTTGCGAGTCGGACCTGGCCCATGTCATCCGGGGCCTCCTCAATATATATATATATATATATATATATATATTTAAAAACAGAAAGGAATTTTAATTTATGTATTCTTATTTTCGTTCCTTAATCAAATTCATTTATCAAAAAAAAAAAAAAAAAAGTGAAACTAAATTTCAATACCATCAACTCGTCCAGGGAGCATATAATGGTGCGTTACAGGATTGGGATGCCCAGGTACTATATGTCTTAGACCGTTACTTGAGAAAAAAAAAATAAAAAATTTAGACCCATTTTATAGTGAACCATAGTGTCATCCAGCTCGCTGTAACGCCTTCGAGTCTTAAGATCTATGCAATTTTAAATGCATCAATCACATTAAATTTCTTTTAATTTCAAAATCAAAAAGCTAATTCGACAATTCCAAATGTAATATTAAATGTTTACGAATGAATGTATTATGTGGAATGATATCATGGAAATAGATATAGTTTGTGCTAGCTCAAACCACATTAAATTTTCAATTTCTTTACTGATTGTATTAAACCAGTGATGCTGTCCAAAACTAATTTGGATGGGGCCGTTAAGAAAATTAATATAAGAATTTAAAAAATATATATATATTATAAGGAACAAAAGAACTTTAATGTTAAATGATATTTTCATAAAAAATTGTTCATACCGCCATTTTGATTTTTTTTTTCTTCATAAATACTTTTTCTTTAATTATTATCAAGATAACATATTAAAAGTTGAAAAAATTCCAGGAAGACTCATTTGTACTCTTAATTTTTAAATTTTAAAATATAAAATTGTGAATTTATATATTTGATATGATTAATTGATCATAGTTTTTTTTTTTTTTTTTTCATTTTTATTGTTATTGTTTTTTGCAGACCAAAATGTTAGAGACAATTTTAGAAAATTTGTAGTGAACTCACATTCAGGAAGTCTGCCATATTAATAAAAGATAATATATTAGAGAATCAATAAACAAGTTTAGGGAGAGATTAAACAAGCAAAATCTTTAGTTTACTCCATTTAAGAGATTTTACAAAAAAAAAAAAAAAAAAAATTAATGGTTGCAAGAGTAATAGGATTTTTTTTAACAAAAAAGAAAAAAAAAAAGAAGAGTAATAGGATTTTAGAAAAAGTTCAGGTATAAAATATAAATAAATCAAATCTAATTTAATAAGACAGATATGTATTGTAAATGAGAAAATAAAGAAAATTACTATCACAAGGCATCTTATTAAAATGAATATATAAAAAAATATTACCTTAAACCATTGCAATTCAAGTTGCATTTGTAGAACTGCACCAGCTGCAGCAGCTTTGAGTTTACTACTTTGTTTCTTCTTTAAACATGCAACTAGATCCAGACTAGTGTTACCCGATGAATCAGGCCATGCTAAAAGATAATTCATAATTGACTTGTCAGAAAGTTGATAAATAAGTTTGAATACGTCTCTTTGACGATTCAAAATTGCAATTTGAAATAAATTTTGTCCCTTTTCGTTTTTACTATAAATTGCTTCAGGAAATATTGAAAGGATCTCTTCAACAACTTCAGGAATTCCATAAGTTGTTGTGGCAAATACTGATCTTCCAACTCTATATCTGGCTTCTGAAAAATCTAATTTTTCATATTCAATGCAAAGATGTCTGACAAGTTGAATTGCCTGATCATTCTTCCATTTTATCCCTCGGACGTCCTTGATCCATGGCACTGTTTTAAGGCGAATAATTTAGCAGGATGCAGTATGTGTTGCAAATAATTTCTAGTAAATATCTTTGAGCATAACAATTTTTTTGCGCATAGATATGTTCCTTACCTAGCATTTCAGCAACTTTCCAAATGACACCCAACAACTTTTGCTTCATTGTACCTGCCAATATATATATATATATATATATATATATATATATATATACTTCATCACACTTTTACAACAAAACTAAACAAGTCGAAATCAAAAAAAAAATTTAAGAAGAATACAAATTAAACGAACCTTGATTTTATTCTTCAATTTTTTTTTTTTTTTTTTTTTTTACTTGACAATATCAATGCAACCACTAAAACCACCCTCCATTAATTTTTAGATGTCACATGTCATGAATAAAAATATTATTTATGTTATTATTTTTTATATCAAATAAAATATCATACAAACAACCGTTGTCCAACCTGAGTTAAAATTGATTAGCCTAAAATTCTTGCCCCAACGAATGCAGGCTGTAAAACGAAGCTTCATGATCTGGCCCACTTCTACCGCATTACCTATAATTATTGTCTTTTAAAAAGTCATACTCCCCTACTGGATTCTAAAATAAATTAAAAATTTTTTTTAGAGTTTTTAAAGGCACATGAATTCTCTAAAAATTACAAACATTTATAACTTTCTAATCTAATATTTTATATTCTTAATCTGAAAAAGTTTTTAATCGTTAGATAACATAGGAAAGATAGACATTTTATTATGGATTAGAGGGGCCAAAAACGTTGTAGAATTGTAGTAAAAACTTGGAAAGGTGTAATTAAACGTTTCAAGTCTTACCAATATTCCCATTAAAAAAAAAAAACAAAAATTCAAACAGCATTATTGGATTTAAACGGACCATAAATGTGACAATGGGTAGGATTCTCAAAGTCTCCACCACTACAATTGTATGTAGATTCTTCCAACTTCGGAGGAACATCTATATTAGAAAACAATAAGCAGTTAATGTCTCTACAATAACTTTACAAGAATATTTGAAAAAAGAAAGCAATAAGCAGTTAAACGAGAGGCTGGTGGTTCGAACCCACTAGTGGGTACTCAGTGAAATGTGTGGTGTGTAAAAAAAAAAAAAAATCTAGATTTTAAGGAATATATATGCTGATTTACATTCCTAAAAAACGATTGATATATCTTTGCTGAAGAAGAGAGAGAAAGGATAGAACTGACTAACAAAAGTAGATAAATTTTTGCCAAAAGTTGATTTTTGTTCCACTCTTGAATGCGGAATTTTCCATAGCAATTTGTTGCAACAGAGAGACACTTAAGTTTCTTTCCGTCGTTGCAATTAATGCACCATTGCGCTGATCAAGGAGGAATAGCAGAGCAATGTCTGTTAAAGACATAGGAAAGAAAAGATTAATTATGCAATTTCATAATGCATTTTCTATTTCTGTTTACTATAAAAATAAAAATTATATTTCTGTTTACTGAAAAAATAAAAATTATACTCACCGTATAGACCACGCATTATCAAAGAACCAACAAAAATATCCTCATATTCTTCAATGTCGGTGACGTCCATTAAGTAAAGAACCATATTCTTGTAGCAAAGTAAAGCAGCTACGTGGAGAGGTAGTAATGCCTCATTATCTTGAAATATTGGGCAGACGTTGGACCTTAGCCACTAACAACTTGGCTACCTCAAGGTTGTTAGCTGATGCTGCTAAATGAAGACATGTCTCACCTTTGTCATTACTTACAGTCAAATCCGCATGTGATGACGTAACTGCAATAAACTCCAATAGCTTCTTAACAAAATGATTTCTCTTCTTGGTGTGAGAACTGACAGCTACCATCAGTATTGTGTCCCCCTCTCCAGTGATGTCCGCACTCACTGCATCTTGGTTTTGTTCCAAGAATTCTTTGGCTTTCTCCCACTCACCTTTCAGTGTTGCTCTATGCAGCGACCGGTAAAAGCCTACATCTTTTTCTTTGCCTTCTTTGTTTTTCACATTCATTCAAATTAAACAAACATAAAAATTTGTACTCTCATAAAGTGGGTGTATAATAAATAAATAAAGCATTATCATAAACTAAAAGGAAATAAATAATAATAAATTATCTATATATGTGGTGCAATAGAGTGAGCTTACTCGTTTCACTTCTTTTATAGGGATCAAAGACTTTTTTTAACTTATTCCACATATCATGGGCAGTTTTCAAGTCCACCACACATGCAAGAACATCTTTTTGATCGATCGTCCCCATTATCCAGCTTTGTAATAACCCGACTGTTCTATTCCATGCCTCGAACATATTCTTGTTCTCCATTGTCCAGTCTGGTCTTGGAACTGTGCCACTGATGAAACCTTCCAGGCCTTGTCTCCAAATAAGACTAAGCATCAATTTTGACCACATAGAGTAGTTTTCTCTAGAGAGCTTGACCGGAACATAGTCTCCCACGTTAACCTCTACTGGGTATGGGTATTCTACACAAGATTAATTGAAGCACGTCAATTTTGCAGTGTCATGTTATCAAAATGAACTAATTAGTCTATATGTATTTACCCATTTACACATTAATCAGGGGGGAATTTTTTTGGTCTATGATAATTAATTAACTAGATTATCAATCAAACACACCCACTGAAAATTCTTTATTTTAATGAACTGTATGTGTGATGACCCGAGTAACCTTACCAATTAGAGTTTCAGAATTGAACAGTCTCTCTAACTTTGTCCACATATCACTGGCAGTTTCCAAATCCGAAACACTTGGAAGGAAGCTTTCATTGATTGTCCTTATTATCCAACTTTGAAACAACCCATCTGTTCTTTTTCAAGCCAAGGAATCTATTCTTGGGATATTTGGTGGCAAAATGAAACCAAGCAAGCCTTGATTCTCAATAAGATGAAGCATCAGCCTTTTCCAATCATGATAGTTGCTACGGGAAAGCTTGAAGGGAACAAAGTCACCCACGTTCACCTCTATTGGGTATGGGTACACTGCAATTAAATTGATTGTAAGAAAACAACTCATTGATGAAATTAAGGTATATATATATATATTAAGTAAGTCAATTAATACGTACCCTTATTAGTTTCATGCAGGATAATTAACCTTTCCCATATATCTTTTGATGTTTCAAGCAGTAACAAGTCTCGCCGGATATCTTCATTCATCGTTTCCTTCATCCATCTTTGCAACTGCTCGTCTGATTTTCTCCATTCATCGTTGCTGCTGCTGTTGTCGTCAGAAAGTGTTGGTTTTGAAGCCTCACCATTGATGAGACCAAGCAAACCCCGACTCTCAATAAAATGAAGCATCAGCGTTTTCCAACTAGAGTAGTTTTCGGTACGACTAGAGAGCTTGATGGGAACAATGACATTGATATCTATTGGGTACTCTGCAAATTAAAAGGAGAGGAAGAATTTCAGAATTAATGTAACCAATTAATCATGCAAGCTAGCTAGCTAAGTTGAAGTACGCACTACATATATATGTAAATTAATTTAAATTAAAACATCCAAATAGTTAAGTGATAAGCTTACCCATTTTTCTTTCACCCAGGATAACCAACTGTGACCACATATCTTTAGCAGTTTTCCAGTACACCACATTTGGAAGAATATCTTTATTGATGGTTTCCTTTATCCATCTTTGCAAGAGCTCGTCGGATCTTTTCCAATCCTGATAATCCTGGTTCTCTATCATCTTCGTGTAGATGATGACACTATCATCGGCAGCAATAGGAAAAACCTCTGCATCATCTGGTACTAAGATATTTTCACCATCTTCCGGTACTATGATCCTTTCAGATGGTGCTGAAACCTCGCCATTTATGAAACCAAGCAAGCCTTGAGTCTTAATAAGATCAAGCATCAATGTTTTCCACCTAAAATAGCTATCTTTAGAGAGATTGATAGGAACAAAGTCCATCACGTTGATCTCTGCTGGGTATGGGTACTGTGCAAAAGTTTTAGAATATAAATCTATTAATGATGACTACTAGCTTGAACTACAAATATATGCAAATTAATTAATTATATGTATGTAATCATTCACATACTTAATTATAAGTCATGGCCATACCTGTTTTTGTTTCATGGAGGGTAATTAACTTTGACCACATATCTTTAGCACTTTCCAGGCACACCACATTTGGAAGAACATCTTCATTAATGGTCCCTTTGATCCATCGTTGTAAAAATGTGTCCGATCTTTTCCAGTCGTGAAAATCTTGGTTCTCTATCTCATTCGCGTCATTATTGGGAGACTTAACATCATCATCATCATCATTTGGTACTGTGATATTTTCAGGTGGTGTCAGAACTTCGTCATTGATGAAACCAGCCAAACCTTGAGTCTCAAAAAGATGAAACATCAGATGTTTCCACACAAAGTAGTTTTGTTTAGAGAGGATGACATCAACAAAATGCCTCACGTTAACCTCTATTGGATATGGGTACTTATTTAGAGAAGAAGATATTTCAGTGTCTGAGTGTAGACACTAAAATTTTAGTGGACTTTAATTTGGACAAATGGACCCATTAAATATGGGCCCAATGTTTAATTAAGTTATTTAATTGGCCCAAGTATGGTCCACTTAAATTATTTAATTAAGCCCACTCTAGAGTCTAGATGGTCAAATAAAAAGAATAATCATTCCTAATAAAATATATTTGGAATAATTATTTTTAAGAATAATTATCATAATATATCCGGCTCGGCCCAATTATAATTTTTTCCTTATCAGGAGATGACACGTGTCATCATCCTATTAATCCAAGAAGCCTATAAATAGAGGCTTGGAGGAAGAAAAAGGGGAGAGGATTCAGAATTCAGAAGTTTACAAATTCAGACACAAATTCAGAATTCAGAAGTTCAGAGATTCAGAAATCTAGAGACTCAGAATTCAGACACAAATTCAGAATCGAAACCCAAAAGCGAAGAACATCAAGCACATCCAACAACGTGCCGTTCTTCATCAAATTTCACAGTGATTCAAGAACAAGCTCGTGCAGCCCTTGGATTCAACCAACCAAAAACAAGGAGATCGAATCAGAGGACCATTCTTTTTTTGTAAAAGATATTACAAAGGACTGTACTCCACATTCATAAATTAATAAAATTCTATTTTGCTCCATATTTTGTTTCTATTGCAGACTTACAAAATTTGTGTGTACAAATTTATGGCACGCCCGGTGGGACAACCTTTGCCTCTCATCTCTTTCTCCTACCATCAAGTTTCTTCTCTATCAGAGTCTATGGCTCCCCCTAAGATTCAGACAGACAAGAAAGCCCAAAAGAACATCGCTATTGCAAAGGTTGACGCTAAAGCCACCATGAAAAGTGGCACGAAGACCAAATTAAGCGATGGAAGTACCTTGACGGGCCTTGTGACACGTAGCAAGTCCCAGGCGATGGCGTCATTCAAACTTCAGCAAGATGTGGTGAAAACTAATCCTGCAACACCGGCGAACGTGAAAACTCAACATGTCAAAAACCTTGACATTGTTCCAGAGGAGGCTCCACCACCAAATTCACTTCGTTCTATCTATGATGCTCACTCTAGTGTCGGTTCACCCCCAGAGTCACCACGTCAGACTTCGGAGCAATCAATCACTTCAAGGAACGTGGATTCTCAAGGCCTATCATACTCAGATGTGGTTGCTGCTATGATGACTGGAGCTGCTACGGTGAAGGAACAACTAGCAACTATGGCTCATTCCATTGAGAACCTCACAAAGACTATTGAAGAAAAGGACTTGCAAATCGCTACACTAATGAATAAATTGGAAGTTCAGACCTTCGGTGAAACACTAATGCCATCCAGGAATTGTGCAACTTTCACACCACCACTGTCTGGGAAACCTACATCTTCCACAGCAATACTAACGGAGAATCCTAATTCTACAGCACAAGGTACTCACAGGGGGAATCCCAAACAGACGCCGGTGACAGAACAAGCAACCAGTCAAAACCAGACGCCGGGGATAGAACAGGCGACTGGTTAAACCAATCATACCTCTTCTTTAGTCTCTTCATTATCTGTCGAACAATTGCAAGATATGATAACGAATACAATCCGAGCTCAATATGGTGGTGTCTCACAGAGCACTCTTATGCACTCAAAGCCCTATACAAGGAGAATCGACAGTATGAGAATGTATGTAGGATACCAACCTCCGAAGATTCAGCAATTTGACGGAAAAGGTAACCCCAAGCAACACATTGCCCATTTTGTCGAGACTTGTAACAATGCCGGAACAGAGGGGGACTTATTAGTCAAACAGTTTGTCCGGTCCCTTAAAGGAAACGCGTTCGAGTGGTACACTGACCTAAAGTCAGAATCAATTGATAGTTGGGACCAGATGGAACGAGAATTCTTGAACAGGTTCTATAGCACTCGTCGTACTGTTAGTATGATAGAGTTGACTAACACGAAGCAATGGAAGGATGAGCCTATAATCGACTACATTAATCGGTGGAGAGCCCTCAGTCTTGACTGCAAGGACCGTTTGTCAGAAGTATCTGCTGTGGAGATGTGTATGCAGGGAATACATTGCGGCCTGCTCTACATTCTGCAAGGCATAAAACCTCGCACATTTGAGGAATTGGCTACGCGTGCCCATGACATGGAGATCAGTATAAAATCCCATGACGGCAAAAGTCCCATGACTATAGAACCACGCAAAGATAAGAAGGACTGGAAGAAGGGCGACAAGTCATCAAAAAATGCGGCTAAAGATTCAATGGCTATCTCAACCACCCCAATTAAGATATCTGTTAAAGATGACAAGAAGGATGATAAAAAGCCTCGCCAGTTTCAAGAGAGGGAGAGACAGCGTCCTACGCTAAAGGAGTTAGAGAAGAAAGAATACCCCTTCCCCGATTCTGATGTTCCTGGAATCTTGGAATGTTTACTTGAAAGTAAAGTTATAGAACTCCCTGAATGCAAACGTCCTCCAGAGATGGGACTTATCAACGATCCAAAATACTGCAAATATCATCGCA